GCACTGGAGCACTGTGTTTCGGGGGATGCTGTACAACAGATAAAGACAGGCTTGAGAGAAGTATAGAAAGGGTCCTCCTGCACATGGCCTGTGGAAATGTCAGCTGCTATAGCTCTCTGGGATCATAGAGAGCTGGTTTAAATTTTTCAAGATTTTGTTTTTAACTATGTGTATATGTGTTGGGGTGGTATGAGCACACGAGAGTACAGGTTTCCATGGAGGCCCGAAGAGGATGTGTGAGCTGGAGTTACAGGCAAGCATAAGCTGTAAATTACAGGCAATTGACAAAGGAGTTGTCACCCACACTCCAGTTGTCTGCAGGAGCAGAATTTGATCGTAACTATGGAGCCATCTCTCCACACTTGAAAATTACTTTTCAGTTAAAGAGCAAAGCCGTATGATCCAGCATCCCCACTGCTCTATACACATCCTCTGGAAATAAAGTAAGCATGCACTCCCAAGTTCTTTACAGTATTGTTCACAGAAGCCAAGCTATGAGACCATCATAGCTTGAGGAAATAAAGAGCACTATTTATATGCTTAGTGGGTTAGTGTTCAGCCTTTAAGAATCGAGTTGCTTCAGCAATATAGATAAATCTGGAGGACATTGTTTAAAGTGAAATAAGCCAGGCACAGAAAGACAAATACTCCATGATTTCAGTTACATGTAAAATCTAAGAGTGCTGAACTCACAGGGGTAAGGAATCAAAAGGTGGTTATCAGAGCTGGGAGGAGGGCAGGGTGATAGCTCAAGCAAGAAAGATGTTAGTCATGGATACAACACTTCAAAGTAAACAGAGCGATACTAGTAACCCAGAGCCTCCTGCCCACAGGCTCATGGGAACCCAGCTTCTAAAGCTGGACTCTGGCCTGTCTGTGAGCTTTCTGTGACTGGGGTGACGTAGTGCTTGTCTTTATGAATAGTGTGCCTGGATCATGATCACAAAATTCACTTTAGGCGCTTGACTGGCTGCCATCCCTTGACTCACTGTACTGTGAGGACATACAAGAATGTGTGATTTGTTGGGTCATTTTCCAGCTCTTGTGCTGTGATTGTATTGACATCTGTACGGGTACGTTACCTGGAGTGCGCTGTAGTCTAACTCAGGTGGATGTGGCCCAATAGTTTGACAGAATGGCTGAAACAAAAGGAGCTGCTCCTCATCACAGCCCGGGGTTGTCCTCGTTGGTTTTGTTTTGGCCATGCTGATGCTCGTCTCTGTCTACTCAGGTGCTTTGGCTGTCTTCATTGGTAAAGCAGTCACAATGCTCTTACCTGGTTCTCATCATGCCATCCAAGTCTCCCTTTCCTTAAATGACGTCTGCTTGTTCCTTAGTCTTATTAAAGTCTTATTTAATAAAAGTGCTTAAGCTTATCTCTAGTGTTTGTGTCTGCCTTCGAGATGGCAAGTGTACTCCTCAGAGTGTTGTTTTGCCTTTCACACTTAGCTTCTTGTCTGCGTGAAGTTAGTGTTTGTATGGTGTAAATGGTGGGCTAAGATACGCTAGTTTCCACATGGCCACCAGTTAACATGGAAACACTGCGTCGTTCCCATTACAGAGCAATGACATTCATGCATAGGGCTATTCTGGGCTCTGTGATGTTCCCCTATAGCCAGCTTTGTTGCTGTTGTTGTTTGTCGTTGTTAATATTGAGTCAAAGTGGTAAATAGGTGAAGTTCCTGAGACAGAGATTCTCAGTCAAGTGCAGTAGTTTCCTCAGGTGAACAAGCAATATTAGGCATTTACACTTACGCTGGAAAACAGGACATCTTGTTAGTGCAAGAGGAAGTGTTGTTGGCTCTCAGTGTTTTGTTTCCTTTTCTTTTTTATTTCGAGTTTGTGATTTGCCTCCTTGTCAGTAAATGGTGCTTTATATATCTAATGCATATTTATGCTTTATATATGTGTGTTTATGTTTTAGCACATGTATGCTATAGTATTATTATGTCATTCTCACTATAAAATATAAAATTGATACTGCAGAAATCATAAAACAGATACTAGAACAAAAATTATTTTCTTCTGTGTCAGCTGAGGCAGGTGGGTTATGTGTGTTAATTATTTTGGTACGCTCAGTCAACAGTAGTTGACTTCGCTCATGCTGCATGGCTATTTTCTCTGTATCACACTTAACTATGGCATTGGTACTAACAGAGCAGCCGCTGTCAGAACACCAAGGCAAAGACGACAGAATTGGGGGTTTGTCCCTAAATCTTGACTGTGGCATGAGTACTTCTGTATACATTTCATTGGCCTAGTCAGACTACATAAGCTCACATGATTGGATAGGGGGAAATTTCCTGACCTTGTGCCCAGGAGGAGAGCTGGATCCATTTTAGACCACTGATCACCTCCCACATTATCGATTTTGAAGCACATGCCCCTGAATTTACGTTTGTCTAAGAAAAATATACAGGCAAGACAAACTCATTGTCTTTTCCCATAAAGTCATGCCGTTTTAAAGCTCTAATTAAAATTACTCTGAGTATCGGCATAGAGACCTCTCCTTTCAGAGCCGTTCCATCTCCAGCTCTACCTTGAACACTAGCCCATTGAGGACTCACGTGGACCTGCAGCTTCTAGCAGGAGACATGGACTTCCTACTCATGATTAAATACTTATATTTCTTTCCTTGTTTTTGCCTGGCTTTTCTATAACTTTAAGGTCAGATCTTTCCTCCAAGAAATCTTTCCTGTCTGTTTCTGAAGTAGATTAAGACTTCTCCATTCTGTTCTCTCATAACACTCTGTCCTTTACTTCCAGGACAGATCTTTTTGTTCAATCCATTTCTTCAATTACAGTGTGAGCTTTCATGCTCTGCTCACCCCACTGCGTGCTCTCCCTTGGGTCTAGCCCAGTTACTGTGTAAGTGCACATTAAATGCTTTTTGGTTATATCAGTGTATTTTATGTCTGTGACATTTATGCAGTCTGCAGAGAATGTGTCTGGGGTATTTCTGTAGTCCACAGAGGACAGTTGCCTCATGAGAAACGAATCACATAAACGGCAGGCACACTCATACCACACCTCTGTGCCATGGGGGCTGAAAGCTGCCAGGGTAAGAATGCTTTTCCTGTTCTCCCTAAATTAAAATACAGCACACCTAGGTTTCCACTTTCTTAAGTGTTTTTGTGTTCTCTTTTACTGAGTAATGGTTTTTGTGTTAAGTTGAAAGCTTTACAGTCAGGGTGTACATGACATTCAACATAAATGGTACTTAGATCGCCCAGGTGACAAGGACATTATATATTCACAGTCACTAGTCACACAAGGCCTGGGACACTACGCCGTGCCCTCTTCTAGCTTTCTGGAGGTGGTACTAAATTCCCAAGACACGGGGTGGTTCATGTTTTGATACTTTGCATCAGCAGAAGAGTGAGTATGAGACACTTTGGAAAGCTGTGCTGCACAGGACCCCTTCACTGCTTGTCTTCATTCCCGTGTGTGAGGACAGCCTTCATCTTCTCTGCTCCTCCGTCCAGGAACAATAATAAATGGTATCGCCTTTCTGTCTATCGGAGTCACTGTGGGCTTCGAGTGCTGTTCTTCATTTAAGATGCAAATGATGTACTAATCTCCTACAGTGATGGCGTTATGGTGGAGCAGATAGGATGGCACAGACATGCTTATCTCTGTGTTCTCACGGCGTGCCCTGCATTCTTCTTCCACGGAGAGCCACTGTTTCAGTCTGTATGAATGCGAGAGTGAAAGGTGCGTGGATGCCGATGATATTTGCAGAGCCTGTTATCTGCTTACTCAACGGTACTATTGAATAATAATATTTCTTAGAGATTTGATTTATGCCTAAAGCCAGGGAAACTGAGAAAAAAGATGGGAACTGTAGATGAAATGTTAAAATTTTACTCAAATAGCAGCAGTAAGAGCTGAGGTGAATCTTGTGCTAGCTTCAGTTTTCTCCATTGCAGGATGGGGATGATAAAACACCCACTTAACAGTGTTCTTATGTGAAGAAAGTAACACCTTCCAAGAGCTTATTCTAGGACATGACTTAAAAGAGCTCCGAGGGTGTACGCTGCGCTGTAAGAGCTTTGTCCTCTGTTCTCTTCTTCTCTCTCCCTTCCTGTTCTGCAACACATTGTCATCACTGCACACTTCGGCCCACCACCTCTTTTGTAGCATCTTTTCAGCTTCAGAAGTCTGTTGTTTCTTGTCTCTGATGAGCATTAATCCTGTCCTGTCTTCTGATTTGTCACTGCTCTCATTGCTGTGACCAAGATGCCCAGAAGAATGAAAAGGAGAGATTTAAGTTGGTCCCGAGCTCTGAGGGTCCAGCCCACAGTTGCTTAGCTCCATGTGGTTGGGGGGCATGCAGAGGAAAAAGCTTTCACTCTCTTAGGCAAATACGGAGTGAGATGGGAAGGGGAGAGACACACAGACAGAAGGAGACAGACAGAAACTGAAGAGGCTGGAGAAGGATAGCAGGTTACCCCTGCCAAGGGCCATTCCAGTGATCCCATTCTTTCAGCTGGACCCCACTTCTAAGAGTTGCCAACACCTCCTAAAACAGCAGCAGCTGGGCAGCAAGCTTTCACTACAAGAGCCTCTGGGAGACTGAATATTCGAAGCATAAGAGCATCTGAGCCTGACCTTCTGAGGCTACCAGACAGGTCTAGCTCGCTACATTTCTGCTGCCTTGGCTCTGCTTCTGACTGTTTGTGTCGCAGACATCACTGCCTGTTCAGTGATGACCTGCAAACACAATCTGAAGAAACAGTTATCTCCCAAGTAACTCAAAGGTTGTTCTTGTCATTCTTCCCAGGCCAAGCATTCTAGTTCCCATTTCTCCCCTTTAGCATTCCTCACTACATTAGTTACCACCCTCACCTCTCACTAGCCTGAGTCCCAGGAGAGCAGAGCACCCTGCCTTATTCACCATTGTGTCGTGAACTAGTAGGTGCTCAGCAAAAATGTGTTTAAATCATATACTACGATATGCTGAATTTTATTTCAATTTCAGTGTGTTTGTATTATTCTAGGTTCTTGGCCTTGTCCAAAACATGAGTGTCTTCCAGTGTCCAAAATGTAAACACAAAACTCATATTTTTGGTGCTGATGGTGCAAGAAAACTAGCACAGACCCTTGATCTTGATGTTCTAGGTAAGACCTTAGACTCCTCTTTCACAGGGCAAATTACAAGAGGGGAAATGGCAGTGGGGTCTGGTAATGGGGAATCGGTAAGTAGTTGCTTGGAGCTTTGCATCTTTAAAGTGTTAAATAGTTCCACTGCATGCCTTAAGCTCTGCTGGGCACCTGTGAATAGGCTTTTTCTATAGGCTATGATATAACCTCTATGATAGGCAAAGACAGCCTGTAGATTCAGTGTGAGGAGACAGATGTAGTCTGAGCACCATAGATTAAAGTCATGTTTAAAGGATGGTAGTTAGCTTGGTTGCAGCATTGGATGTAGACATTACTGTATACGTAGGTGTATGTGGCCATGCTCACTGTGTGTTACAGCACAGTCTCTAACAGCATGTCCTTGGATTATGTGCAATGCCTTCATGAGCTGCTCTTTGCTTGTCAGCCTTTCAGCTGCACAGTATCTCCTCCTGCTCTGTTGTGATATGTGATTACCATTTCTATAAAATACGGCAGGCGGATTTTTATTTTATTATATATATTGTATATATTGTTCATAGCACTGAATCAAAGAATTAAGTAGTTTAGGAGGAGAACAAAAATCATGTGATAAGTGAAAAAATAAACAGATTTTGAGTAAAACATGCTTTTTCAAAAAATCCACAAGCAATCTCTAGATGTTTAAGACAACTTGTTTTTCTATTGTAATTGTGAATGGGCTTCTGTTCTGGGCAAAGACAGATGTTACTAGCTATAGATAGTTGAAAATTAAGATCTTTTAGAGATGAAAGAATTTCAAAATATTCTCTGTTATAATACATTTCTGAAAGTTAATGCTAAATATATTATTGTTATTATTCATTTCACTGTAGCACCAACTACAATACCAGGTGAATGCTAATGATATATTTTGATACATTACTGTAATTATAGCCATTAATTATATTCTGAAACTGTTTTTTACTTAACTAACCTAGAAAGTTCAATTTTCCAAATCTACATAATAACATAACAGATTGACTTTCCCTTATATAATAAAGTAAATGTATAATTATAATGGCATTATTGAATTATGCTGGTGGTTTAATTCCTAACTTAGAACAAGCGGGACAGGATTGTAAGTCATTTATTAGATGCTGAAGCCTCGTAGCCCGGAAGTTGTTTGTTAGGCAGTGGCTCACGACTGTGTGATGCCCTAAAGAGTGTCAGTAGTGAGCACTGGACCTGCCGTAGATGAGAGCTCAACACTGTCACAGGAAAGGTAACTCGGGGTTCCTGTTCGTCTACTTAATGTAGTCAGGGAACCCCAGAGAGCCCAGGGACTGCAGCAAGAGGTCTGCTAATAAAGAGGGTGGGACTAGGGATGAGGGACTGAAGACAGGAGAGCTCGCTCAGCTGAGGTTCTGCTGTTCAACATCTCTGCCCCCATTCTTTTATGACCTGTTGGGTTGCTTATTCCTAAAACAGCTCTTGGGATATTTTAAACTGTATTTGAAAATATATTTTTGTCATGTGTGTTAGGGTGAAGGGGTGTGGTACATGTGACATTGTGTGCATGTGGAGGTCAGAGAACAACTTTCAGGAATTGATATTCTCCTTCCATGGTGGAAGTTCCTGAAATTGAACTCAGGCAAGTGTCTTTACTGGCTGAGCCATCCTCCGGCCTGCAGTGGTTCTTTAGACCATTATCCGTACGAACCCAGTTGATGCATAGTAGTTAACTCTCACGCCACTACAGAGAACGAGCCACCCAGCATCTGACACGTGCCCTGACTCTTTTACTCTTTTCTAGGATGCTCTTCCCTCCCAGCCTGTTCCTTGGGCTTTATTCCCATTTTTATTGTGGCTCCATAGTCTTCTGTGCCTGCATGTAGCGTTATGACTCTGGATGGCAAATACCGTGTCAGTAGGTGATTGTGTGAAATGCAGGGTTGGCCTCTTTTACTTCATTTCTGCAGCGGAAGGGAAGCGATTCAGGTTTCCTTGCTCTTCATAAATCAAGATAAAAATGTTTCTGGGTTTCTAAACACTTTATGTGACATTTACCCTATCTGCCCTGTGAGAGTCCCTACAGTTTTATATTGATCTGTAGAAGGGACACCAAATTTGCTGCAAAGATAATCCTTAAATGGTTATTAAAATAATCTTATATTTTGTAATTTGGCTGGCAGGATATTATATTTGTCAGGATTCTCTAAAGGAACAGAAGAGAGGGGGGGAAGGAAGGAGAGAATGTGCATAGTTTATTAGAATAGCTTACAGTCAGGCTAGTCTAACAATGGCTCTCCCTCTCTCTCCCTCTCCTCCTCCCTCCCTCCCTTGTGCACACTCCCTCCCTCCCTCCCCCTCCCTCCCTCCCTCCCTCCCTCCCTCTCTCTCTCTCTCTCTCTCTCTCTCTCTCTCTCTCTCTCTCTCTCTCCTTATACCAAAAGGCTAAGAATCTAGTAGTTGTTCAATTAACAAGTCTGGATGTCTCAGCTGGTCTTCCATCTATACTAGAATCCTGAAGAAGTAGGTTTTAATACCAGCAAAGTAATTCTTCAGGAACAGAATAGATGAACTTGCCAACAAGAGTGAAGGAAAACTGGCAAAAAGCAGAAATTACCTTCCTCTGTGTCCTTTTATATGGGGTTCCAGCAGAAGGCATGGCCAGATTTAGGGCGGGTCTTCCCACCTCACGTGATCCAGTCAAGCGGATCTCTCGCAGTTGTGTCCAGCTGCTTGGGTTTTAGTTGGCTACTGATATAATCATGTCGACAACCAGGATTAGCATTTGGGTATCTAAGAGAGCGAAGCTTGAATGAGCAGAGCATATATAGCAAGGTACGCGTGTGAAAATGTTATAAGGAAGCCTATTTATAATAACTGAAAAACATAAAATAACTGGTTAAAAAGAAATACAATAGCACAGTTGGCTGATACCTGTCTCTCTGCCATGCCATGTGTAATAAATTACAGTGTTTTGCGTATTTATATTGCTGTTGAGGGTACTGTGTGACATGAAATGCCCATTTAAGCACACATTTTGGTAGCCTGTGCAGGAGTCTGGGGTACTTGTGAGAACACTCTGAGGCACAAGGTAGTTGTACTTAAGACTCCATTTCCTGCATTTGAGTCCTCAGCCTTCAGGAGACTGGCTGAAAGCACTCTACCCTTAAGTTCTCCCACCTCCTGGGACAGCATTGTCAGATGCACACAGCTGCTCCCTGGCAGTGCTTCCCAGGAACACACCAGGCTCACAAGCTTCTGTGTCATGCTCCATGGGTTAGTGGATAGTAAGAAAAAGCAATGTCTCAAAAGTAGGCTGACACTGGGATACATATCTGACTTACTTTTTAAGTGTTTCTATTATACTTTCTCTATGATTGTGTATATGTGTATGCATGCAGGTACCGTGGCACATATGTGGAAATCAGAGAACAACTTGAATGTTGATTTTCTCATTATACCACATAGGTGCTGGGAATCAACCTTGGGTCATGAGGTTTGGGATCAAGCACCTTTACCTGCTGAGCCATCTTGCCAGCTCCTGCCTTACTAGCAGCTGTCTTCACGCACTCATCCAGCAACACCATGAAGAGTCTTTGGGACTCTTACCTCAGCATTCTTTCCTCATTCATCTCCTTCATGGCGTACAACACGATGTGTCTATGTCAGCTATTCCAGGGAAAACCGCTTACAGGTGCCCTCTGAGCTAGCCTTTGCCTCCTGGAGATCTTTAGCAAAGAACAAACCAGGTGCCTCACTTCACGGTTGATTTCCCAGAGCTTGTACATACGTACTTACACACACACACACACACACACACACACACACACACATATACAGGGCGGGGGGCAGGTAGACATAATTCAGCTTAGTTTGAGAAACTTTAGCTCAGATTTTTTTTGTTTCCAAAGACGGAGTAGTGAGATCACGAATGCCCCTGTCAGTTTCTCTGGCTCTCATGTTTTCTCCTGGTCTTCTGCAGGAGACGTTCCCTTACACCTCAGTATAAGGGAAGCTTCGGATGTGGGCCAGCCAGTTGTCTTTTCTCAGCCTGAAAGTGATGAGGTAAGTTACATTTTTCATGTCTTTCTTGTTGTGGGATGTATTCTTTATGATACGCAGAAAGTGAGGGAGATGAGGTCAAGTTTGCTTGTGCACAGGACAAACGTAGACAGAAGCGGCTTACCTTGACTTTAAGGGACTCGTCATGTTGTGTGCTAGGACACAACTGTGGACACAAACTCTCAGCTCAAGAACAGACAGCTAACCTCCCAGCAGTTTTCTCCTGGGGAACCCCATAATGAGAACTCAGAGATTCTCAGCTTGCCGGCTGGCAGCGTCTGACTGCTCGAGATGACACTTTAGTATTACACCCTCAGTGGTTACTGAGAGAGAAGGGAACCTGATGAGAGAAAGGGCGTTCGTGGAGTACTCGATCAGTAGGGATGGGATTTTGTTGTGTTTATTTTAATGACTAGGACTGGGGAGTAGAGCAAAAAAACCTATTAGTGTTTCATCAGCCAGCATCATAAAAGATATAACTGATAGATTTTCAAAGTTGCTAAAGTATGAAAATTTTAGGGATAAAATGTGTTATTGTAATGTTTTCTGAAAAATAGACATGAAACCAGTTACACACATATCTTTTTCCTGCTCAGTCTTACTATTTCATTTGGAAGCCCAGTTATCATCTCTGTGTCTGTGTTCGTAGTTTCTGTGTGCCCTTCCTCTACACCCCAGCCTCCCAGTAGCTTTGTCCTGCACTGCAGCCCTGCCATCATAACAGCTACGCTGCTCGTCCCTCTCCACCCCTCTGCCCTGCTCGTCCCTCTCCACCCCTCTGCCCTGCTTGTCCCTCTCCAACCCTCTGCCCTGCCCGTCCCTCTCCACCCCTCTGCCCTGCTTGTCCCTCTCCACCCCTCTTCCCTGCCCATCCCTCTCCACCCCTCTGGTCTTCTGTGGATAAGAAAGGAAGAGACCCAACCCTGGCTAATACCATGAATAAAGTGAGAGCAGATGTGATCTGGAATCATGAACTGCACAGATTCATCTAGAGTTGCCGTATGGTGGGCACCCAGCGCCTCTCCCTGCCCCTGCCCCTGTCAGCCGATGTGGTGCAGCCGCTGGAGTGTGACCTTTCAGTAAATACAATATGGTGCTTATCAATGTTTTCTTTTTCTGTGCCTTTCCGGGATTAAATTTCCTTTCCAATTTTTCTTTAAAGAGCTTTCAAATAAGCAAAACCATAACTCTTTATTGCTCTCATATTAAAGTATGGTAATCCCAACCATACTTATCAAAGTCTCCTTTCAATATAAAGTACATGAAATGTTTGAAATGAGGATCTTATTAATTATGCACATTAAAATGGCTTCTAAAAGCAGAATATTTAAATGTATTCTACAGTGATTCCTTATAAATAATAGTATTTACTACTAATTTCAATTATGAGTTGAGATTTTAAAATATTTCTACCTGTTTGTTATTGCTTTTTTTTCTTTAAAATGCTCCAAAAATGAGAAGCAATACATTGAATTAGAGAAATATGACTTAACAGAGAACAAATAACAAGCCATTCAAACATCATTTAATTTTAAATGCTAAGCAATAGTATTTGTGGGATTTTTGGGGTTAATGTTTTCTGTAGTCTGATCTATATGTGTGATAAGTGGGTCTCAGTGCTCCTGGGTGATGGTCTGTGTGTGTGATAACTGGGTCTCAGTGTTCCTGGGTGATGGTCTGTGTGTGTGATAACTGGGTCTCAGTGCTCCT